ATCAGATTTATAGTTCCCACTCTGCAGATCTATTAGAATCTGTCCTGAAATTCCAACCAAACTCATTTACACAATAACAGATAAAAACCTTTAGATAAATCAGACATTACCGCCTTCATATGTGACTCAATAACCATTAAAACAACTATTTTCATTAATCTCAGACGGAACTATTCACAGAGTTGTATTATATTAAACTGAACTTCCAATTTTCACCACTGTTCTGCGCCAAGTAACATTTCCTCTGATCACGGAGCAAATCCCGATGATGAGACATTTGTTCTTTCAATCAACCCCCCCCCCGATGCAAGGTGTCCTGGTTTTTCCAAATGAAAATATGGTCACCCTATGTAAAATCCAAAGTAAAATGAAAAATAATTTAACACAGATTCTCAAACTCAACTCTGAGGTCATTGTTTTTTATGTCTTGTCATAACAAAACAAGTAATTAGTCTGGAGGGATTACAGACCTTCTCCCTCCAATCGGATTAAATAATTTTAGAAAGGAGAAAGGAACAAAACTTTCAGCGCATGTGTGATAGTTGCAAGTTATTCTTACCTTTCATCGAGTGCCCCGTTGCTTCTGTCGTCCAGATCGTTTTTTTTGGGCTCTAACCTGTTGCTAAACTGAACCATGACACCTAAAACACAAGCATAACATCTCAGTCATCTAGATTCAATTTTTGCTTTCACCAAATAATCATAATAAAAAAATAATAAAAACCTGAGTAATATGACATTAAAATCGAGATAAATCTACCCTTAAATTCAATTTCCTTTATATAGTGGGTAAATTATATATTTTAAGAGATAATCTTTTTATTTAAGATCATCAGGAATATTTTACCAAGAGGATACAGAGAGCTGATTTCTCTTTGCAAAATCTCTTGCCCTTTCTCTTCAGCTCAGAATTTGGGTACAAATGGTGTAATGATAAATGAAAAGATTAATGTGTGTTGATTTAGTCGGATGTTTTCAACCATTATCCTGCAGAATGTCCCAATAATTGTTCGTTTTCAGTTTTATGTTGTAAGTAAAGAGAGTTTTATTGAAAATAACTGTATATTTAAAGAATTCATTATGCCAAGCAATCTAATTAGGTTATTCAGAAGAAACAGCGCCACAGCATCAAAGCTCCTACATTGTTTTATGCAAAACCCAGCTGCAGTATTTGGCTTTTCTGACTAAAAGATACAGATTTATTTCAAGAATAGGTAATTTTTATCAAACTTTTTTCAAGTAGGGTAGAACAGGGTTTTTTTTTGGATGAGTGGAATCAAATCAAATGAAATAACAAGTATATTTTAAAGTTTTGACATTCTTTTAGCATAGGTGCCAACAAATATGTGAAAATATGCATTTATTCATTGCTTATATAGTCAGTGTGTTAATATCTAAAATATTTATTACACCCTCTGAGTGTTTAATGGCTATAACAGGCTCATTGGACCACCGTAAAATATATTATTCGAGGATCATTAACAATTAAATAGTAATCTTACCTGCACCTCGCCATTTCTTCTTCCAAACAAAGAAACCAATGACCAATAGGATAAGGAATAGCACTAAAACACTCACAGCACCAGCAACAACTGATGAGGAGGAGGTTGCTGTAAGGATAAAAAGAAGTGTTAAAAGAAAAAAAAATTCAATACAAATATGAAAGAAATTAAGGTATCTTTGTTACCGAGTACAGTGACTTGGAGTGACTTGGAGGGAAGGGAAGAGAAGGAAGAAGATGATATGTTGATGGCGTAGAGACAAGAATACTCTCCTTGGTCTTTAAAATCTATTTCTGGGAATTCAAAGTATGCCATGTAGAAGATGATGTGTCCAAAAGCCGGTTTTGCCTGAGTAATGTTTTTTTTAGACCTAACCAGGTAGAAGATGCCCCCAGGGTATCTGGAATGAGTGGAGCAGGTTATGGAGAAGGCGCTCCCTTTGGTCACAGATATTTTAACAGGTGTGTAGATCACCATCGCATGACCAGATGATAGAGAGATACTGGGGATCTCTAATTTCACTGCACGATTGAAAAAGAAAAGACACTTTTACAAATGGAAACACTAAGTTTTGTAAAATCCTATGCAAACAAAAAAATAAAAAAATCTTCATTACCTCGAACAGTTAGATCAATAGTATTTCCCTGAGGATAATAGATTGTTTGATCTAGCAGTTTCTTATGGTATTCACAAAAGTATGACCCATTGAGACTGAAATCGGCTTGAGGGAAGACAAAAGTTGCTGCTTCGTGCTCTGAGAATTTTTCCTTAGAAAATGAACCTTGAGTATTTTTCAGTATAAATGTCCCACCCAGGTGCTGTGTTGACATAGTACAGGTGATTTCCACCTTTTCACCCCAGTTAACCTCTGTTGTAGGACTTAAAGTAATTTGGGGCTTTTCTAGATCACCTGAAAAAGATTTGCAGAGTCATGAAGGCTGAATCTAAGAAAACAGAATCATAAATCCAAAATGAACCTGGATCCTTACCTAAACAGATGACACCAGCATCCTCACCATGTCCACAGTTGTTCTCTCCAAAACCCCGGTGTGTGCACTGTGTAAGAGCAGCTTCTTGGCCTGTACACTTCACATTATCCATCCAAATTGGACCGGAGCCTCTCCCAAAATGGGCACTGGTGGGGGCAGAGACTGCATGACCACAACCAAGCTGTCTGCACACCACATCTGCATTGCTCATTTCCCAGTCATCATCACACACTGTACCCCATTTGCCTTTGTAGAAGATCTCCACTCTTCCAGAACACTGGCTTGAGCCGCCAACTAACCTCACAAGGGCTGCATGAGACCAAAAAAATTTTCATCACAAACCTGGCAGATACTTAACGTCCTCAAGATGCTTAAAGTAATCATGAGTGAACCTTTCACTGTTAAAAAAGAATGAATGAAAGCTGTCAATCTTAATACATTTATCTAAATGTATTAAGATTGCAATTTGTAAGCTGATAATTCAATTTCCTATTCCAAGCTATTCATTGACCTGATCCACATCCTACCCTCTTATTAAAATAGGCTTAAAAGAAGGTCTGACGGCTGCTGCTCCTAACTATTCTCGCAGTGAAAACTCTTTTGGCTGATATTAGGATCAAGCAAGCTGTAATCANTTAAGTTGGCCTTTTGCAGGTGACCTACAGTACAAATGAAATATAAAACATGATATAAAACATGAGTTTTATAGTTTTTTTTTTTCAAGTTTTTTCCTGTTGATTGTACCAATGCCTCCTTTGTGGCAACAATGACTGCAGATATTTTTATGTGTCAGTTTCCACCTGACTTTTAGAAGTACTAACAAAAGACCCAGATACTGCAGCCACAGCTGAGTTTCCATTTTGGGAAAATTACTTTGCATCTTTTAAATGTTTATATTTGCACATCCTCCACCCAATGGTGGCTGGCCAATAGAGGGCGCTGGGGGTCACCCCACCCACTCAATGACCTTCATTAAAGGTATAGTGGAGGATTTTCCTGAGTTTTTGAAAAGACCCGCTCTCTCCACGTTAAATAAAAATGCACATGCACAACCCTGTACCCGCTCCTCAGAGGGAAGGCCTATTAAACGCGTGTGAGAGCGTGCACAATCCCATTTTCTCCTCGTGCACGCTCTGTTTAATAGTTGCTGTTTGCTTCACTCATACAAGCTTACTTTCCAAAGGAAGATTTGCAATTTTTCCACTATGTCAGACTCAGCACTGATAAGTGAAAATGCGGTACTGTTTTTCTGAATCCAACATTGTAGCATGGCATAGGCAATTGCTTCTCATGATTTCTTTTATCTAACCAATGAGTGTTTGCCTTATATGACTCATCCAATGACACTAGTTTTCACTAGATGTGGATGGAGCCAATGATCTGCATTAGATGGCTCACATGATGTGAAATAAATTTTTATAAATAATTAAACCGAAGCCAAGAGTAACGACTAACATTTGTTTTAACAATGTAAGGAATAGAAAGTACAGGTACTTGTGTGAAAATGTAATAAGTAGAAGTCAAAAGTAGGAAGAAAAATAAGTAATGGAGTAAAGCATAGATACCTAAAAAGTGTACTTAAGTACAGTAAAAAAGTATTTGTACTTTGTTACTTGACACCTCTGCACCAGAATGATTGACAATTAGGAGGATGAATTATTTCCATGATTCACACAGAAAAAGAACATCCTCCACTATACCTTTAAAACATAAAAAAACAAATAAAAATGTACTTATAAAATTAAATTATTTTAAAATATGTATTTCTTAGATGTTCAAGATAAATAATCTTTAACGTCGAGTAAAGCTGTTATGTTCGTCGTTGGATTAGTGACGTATTTCCGTTTGGGGCACAAAAATCTTTCCCATAGACTCCTACTTTTGCAAATGTTTGCTGTTGTGTTTTGTGAGTTTTCCATTTTTAAGTTAAATGGTTTTAAGTAAGTTAATAATATATTACTGCTGACCGTGACTTGAAACACTTAAGCTAGTTAGCACCGTTTAGCCTGTTGATGTAGCAGCACTAAGAGACTAGTTTTGATTGGTAAAATATAAACAATAAAATACTGTAAAGTGTTTTAACAATAAAAAAACTTTGCACCTGGAGAATAGATAATCAATATATAGCTATGGACATTTTCACAGTGATGGATATTTGAAAATAGCAGCAACATCAGAGATGCGGAAAATGACAGCAGCATGTTATCTAACTGACTAAGGTTTCTATCACTACATTTACTTTTATTTGGTCATGCTACCGGTGGTTGGCACCTATATTCCACTCTGGATTCTAATGAGTGTAGTCTTTGTTCACTTTGCAGTAAAAAAATAAAAATAAATAAAAAGAATCAGTTTTGAGAAGTTCGGTATTCATTTTTTTTTTCCTTTGGGTGTCAACTGTCACAGTTGTTAAGTGACAGAGCGTATGGCGGTAAAAGCCACCAAAGGCTGGACCTGTTTGAATCCACAGCCAAAACTCTTCCGATGTCCTTATTTTCACTGACTTTGAAGGATCCAGTCTAGGTAGACCGGGTCCTTGGAAGACGCAGCTGATTAATTCGAACAGAGCCATTGTCTCCAGGCAGGCTTAGACTGGTAATCTGTGGCTGGTCCTAATTTCAGCTTCGGAGGGTCGGCCCTCCTTAAATCATACCGGCCCCAACAGCCGAAGCTCCTACCTGTGACAGTAAATAACTCAAAGAACTAAAGAAGTAATAGAATGTTAACTACCTAAATGATGCATGCTGTATACAGTCCTTCCTTGTCATGCACATCCTTGTGACGGTTGGCATATGATGTAATTTTCTATTTCTTCAAACTGTAAAATCCTTGCAACAAATAAATTATAATAAAACTAAAATGCAGCTGGCTGGCTGGCTGGCCTTGTGCAAGTGTGGACGTTACACAGCAGCAGTCACTGTCTCGTCTGTTTTAATAACCAAAGCAAGTAAAACCAGGCAGCCTAGATGAGAATCAGCTCCTCCAAGTCCGAGGCCATGGTTCTTGACCAGAAAAAGGTGGCTTGTCCTCTTCAGGTTGGAGGAGAGTCCTTGCCTCAAGTGGAGGAGTTCAAGTATCTTAGGGTCTTGTTCACGAGTGAGGGAAGAATTGAGCAGACGATCGATAGACGGATCGGTGCTGCAATAATGCACCGGTCTGTCGTGGTGAAGAGAGAGCTGAGCGAAAAGGCAAAGCTCTCAATTTACCTGTCGGTCTACGTTGCTACCCTCACCTCTGGTCATGAAATCTGGATCATGACCAAAAGAACGAGTTCCCGGATACAAGCAGCTGAAATGAGCTTTCTTCGCAGGGTGGCTGGGCTCTCCCTTAGAGATAGGGTGAGGAGCTCGGTCATTCGGGAGGGGCTCAGTGTAGAGCCGGTTCTCCTCCACATCGAGAGGAGTCAGTTGAGGTGGCTC